AGTTCCACAGCAGTTAGCCCACGGGAATGCCTGGTGCCTCCTGCCTTCCCCCTACCTGAGACAAACCCAAATGCAGATCATCAAGACTTGACCTTCGATTAGTAAATTGGTGGGAAAGGCCTGCAGAAAACTCTCCCTCCTGTGAACCCCTCCTGTTCTAACTTAGTGTGATCAGAATGTCTATGATGACCATGGGCTGCTGATAGTTCTTCATCAACTTAGCTTCCTACCCTGGGCTTCTTGTGAAATGAACAGCAGATCATTTCACTTTTATGTTTCTAGAGATGAGCAGATAAAGTCCTGTGCAGATTTGAGAGAAATTAAGATTATGTCAAGTTTTGGGGAATCAGAAAATGCTTTGTCGAAGATACAGACCGGAAGTGGGCTATTCATTCTGGGTGATTCCAGATACGTGGACAGGGAGGGTTAAAGACGGTAAAAGCAGAGGAAGGAGCAAGACAGGGCTTCCGAGAATGTGGGCATCGGGTCTGATTGGCTGAGTTTGGAGGAGTCCTTGGAAGGTAATGCTGGGAGGTAATGAGGAAGAGCTCACACCACCTGCCTTCTAAACTGGAACACAACATTGAGCCTCCTGGGCTATTTTGTCAGGTGAGCAATGGCCTTGCAGACCTAAAGACACTCCAGCTCAGGTCACACAGATGCAAGGCGAGGACCAGGAATGGAATCTGGTTTTGCTGGACACCTGTCAGTGCTTTCCTGATGCAACGTTGCCTGTGGCTGTAACCCTGATGTCTCAACAGACCAGGGCAGAGATGACACAGCCTGAAGGAAGGGCGTCATGGTGGGGACAATCTGATTCTGCTTTGGTTTCACCTACTCCTCCCTCTGCGCCCCCATCCTGGCACAGAAATGTCCGCAGGCCTTAGGGATAGCCAGCAGGGAGTGAGATGATCAAGGTCCCTGTCTTCACGGAGGTGACATCCTGGTGGGGGCAAAATAAATTCCCACACACATAGATCATTTCAGGTAATGTGCTGTGGGAACAATCAACTTTGGACTGGAATCTTACCAGGCCACCCAGGGGCCTTCTCTTGGGGGCTGCATTTGGCTGTGGGGAGGAAACTTGTTTTTCCTGGGAGTGGGGGTGGGGAGGGCACCAGGTTGGAATGCAAGGTACCAGCAACTGCCCTGGCTGTCTCCTCCTCCTGCCCCTTGTCAAGGTGTGGGGGAGGGGAATGGGTAGGAGGGACTTGAGGAAAGAGATGTGTGATATGTCTCCTGACTGGTTCCAGTTTCCAGAGCCACGCTATTCTGGTTCTTCCTGGTGACTGAGTCCACATACCTGCCCCCTTGCCCCTAAGCCCCTTTAAGTTGGGTTTTGTCTTTCTGAAGTTCTGACTAAATCTGTACATGACTTGCGCGTCTGGGCCTGTTACTGGATCTATTAGCAGAGTTTTCAATGAGATAAGCTGTCTGTCCACCCTTGGCAGGTACTGGCTAACTATTACTTAGTTCCTGCCTGGGGCTAAGGTGAGGTGGTTCCCTGGCTGTCCAGTTGGGTAACACTCGGTCAGTGAAAGCCATCCTAAGTGAAGGGCCGTGGCGCCTGGATGCCTGCATTCCATGCAAGGCTCTCCCACCCACCAGCTGTGTGTCTCTGGGCAAGTTTCTCACAGGCTCTGCCTCAGTTTCTCTATGAACAGTGGCGGTGATGTTTGGACCTGCCTCTGAGGGCCATGGTGAGGACTAGCTGACTTACTACCTATACAGCCTTTAGAAGAGACCTCGGTGTACAGTGAGGGCGCAGCACACACCAGTCGTCACTGGGAGCTCCTCCCTCCAAGGTTGTCAAGAACATGAGGAAGGAGCAATGAAATCCCCGAGACGTGTGCAGACTATGCCTGTGAGCCTTAAGGAAGAACGGAAGTTTTCCCGTTTCATTTTCAGACAGAGTTTCCTCTTTCCTCATACTTGACAAAACAAAAAGTGATTTATGAGAACAACTTTTCACGTAGAACTCTTGCACAAAATTGGTTCACCCACATGGCATGGCGGAAATGCTCTTTCCTGGTAGGAATCTTCAGAGGGAAGGTGCTTGCTTCATATTCTCATTCCTGTTTGTTTAGGAGGGCCCCGGAATAATGGATTCAACATTAATTGTTTTAATAATCCACACGGATCGACATGTTATATGAAACAAGTAGTAGGAAGCGGGCAAGGCAGGGGCCATTAATCAGACTGTCGATTCTCCTTATTGACATCTAGTGATAAGCCTGCAACTGATATATTTCCTTAAAGAGACTTTTAAAAAATTATACTTAAGCTCTTGTTTTGATATGAAATGATGTTTTTTCAGGAGGACAGCAAATGCCATCCTAAGATTTTAACATTCGTTTAATCCTTTTGTGTTTGCCCCATGTGTTCACTATAGGCTATATTTCACTGCTGGAGGGTACGCCGGTCTGTCTGGGCACACACATGGGAGTGAAAGCAGAAGAGAGGAAAAGAGAAGCAGAGAGAGAGGGAGGCGAGAAGCAGACAGGGGAAGTGAGAAATAAAGCCATGGGTTACTTGTTTTCTAGTCTTCAATGTTGAATTTATCAAGTGAACATCTAGCATAATTTTCAGCCACAGATCATACACCTTTGCAGGACAAGGTGAGGCCTGAGGACTGAACTGGCTCAGTAACTGAGCAAATGGATATAGCGGGCTGACTGGTGGGCCCCAAAATGTGCCATGTCCTAACCCCTGAAATCTTATATATCAAATCTTATATATATATGTCGCTTCACATGGCAAAAGTCGGGACTAAGTTGAGGATCTTGGGGGGAGGAGTGTATCTCTCCTAGTCCCCCCTAAAAGTAATCACACGTACCCTTGCAAGACAGAAGGAAGGGAGAACCATTCTGAGGAGGAGGAGGAGGAGGAAGAGGAGGAGGAGGAGGAGGAAGAGGAGGAGGAGAAGTGTGACAGTGAGGCAGGGGTTAAAGTGACGGGCCACAGCCCAGGAAGCCTGACAGGCTCTGGCGGCCAGGGGAGGCAGGAGGGACCCTCCTGAGCCTCCAGAAGGGGCGGCCCTTGCCTACACTGGGACCTCTGTTTTCCGGCCTCCAGGACTGTGAGAGAATACGCGTCTGTTGTTTTAAGCCACCGAGTTTGTGGTCCTTTGTCAGAGCAGCCACAGGAAGGGAGGCACTGGGTGGTCCCTGAATCTGAAGCCAATTTCTAGCCACATGGCCAGCAGGATGACCCAATGCCTTCTGTGGGCAAAATGGACCTTCCCAGACTTATTCCTTGCAGGCATATGTGAGTTGCTTGTCTTCTGTGCTTGTGCGAGGTGTTGCTGTGCTGTCCCTTCCCTGGGGACCACATCCGGGCAGTGGCAACTCTCAGGGCTCCGTTCCTGGCCTGTGCCCGGGGCACAGATCTAACGAAAGGGCCCCCAGGGCCCAGTTACGATGGAATCTGATACCCCGTCCGCACCTGCCTCCGTGTGTCCAGCACTCTATTTACATCTTCTCATCTTTCACTCACAATCGCCCCTGGAGACAGTGCTGCTGCCTTGTATGTGTGGTGACATCTAAAGTGCGCAAGCCAGCCACGAAGCCACACAAAACCAAAGCAGTCTCTGAAACCCGTGTCTCACTCCAGGGTCCCTGCGGTCAGATGAAGACGCTGTTTCTTCGCTGAGCTCCATGGGACTGGCTGGTAGCTGGCTCCCGTTTAGCAGAGCCCCCTCCCCCTGAGCCCTTAGGCGTGGCTCAGTGGTTGAGGTTTGACCTATGAACCAGGAGGTCACGGTTCGATTCCTGGTCTGGGCACATGCTGGGGGTGCGGGCTCGATCCCCAGTATGGGGCGTGCAGGAGGCAGCTGATCCATGATTCTCTCTCATCACTGATGTTTCTATCTCTCTCTCCCTCTCCCTTCCTCTCTGAAATC